AAAATTAATAGGCAACCAACGGAATGGGAAAAGATAGTTGCAAATGACATATCAGATAAAGGGTTAATATCCAGAATCTATAAGGAACTCACCAAACTCCACACCCGAAAAACAAACAACCCAGTGAAGAAATGGGCAGAGGATATGAACAGACACTTCTCCAAAGAGGACATCCAGATGGCCAACAGACACAGGAAACGATGCTCAGTATCCCTCCTCATCAGGGAAATATAAATCAAAACCACACTGAGATACCACCTCACGCCAGTCAGAGTGGCTAAAATGAGCAAATCAGAGAACTCTAGATGCTGGCGAGGATGTGGAGAAACGGGCACCCTCCTACACTGTTGGTGGGAATGTAAACTGGAGCAGCCCCTCTGGAAAACAGTGTGGACGTTCCTCAAAAAGTTAACAACAGAACTCTCCTATGACCCAGCAATAGCACTGCTAGGAATTTATCCAAGGGATACAGAAGTGCTGATGCATAGGGGCACATACATATACCCCAATGTTCATAGCAGCTCTCTCAACAATAGCCAAATCATGGAAAGAGCCTAAGTGTCCATCAACTGACAAATGGATCAAGAAGATGTGGTTTATCTATACAATGGAATACTACACGGCAATGAGAAAGAATGAAATATGGCCATGTGTAGCAACGTGGATGGAACTCGAGGGTGTTATGCAAAGTGAAATAAGTCAGGCAGAGAAGGACAGCTACCATATGTTTTCACTTATAAGTGGAACAGGAGAAACTTAACAGAGGACCACGGGGGAGGGGAAAGGGAAAAATAGTTGGGGAGAGGGAAGGAGGCAAACCATGAGAATACTGAGAACAATGGAATATATGGAAACCAACTTGACAATAAACTATAAAAGAAAAAAATAAAAAATAAAAGCCATCAACCAAAACCAGCAATGCATCTGAATTAAGCATTAATTTATTTTGAAGATTCATATTTATTCATTTTCTTTCTTTTCTAAAGATTTTATTATTTTTTTAAGGTAAGCTCTATAACTCAATGTGGGGGGTCTAAGTCATGACCCTGAGATCAATGGTCACACGCTCTATCAACTAAGCCAGCCATGTGCCACTGTATTTATTCATTTTCTTCATCAGGTCAAACTAGTGGAAGATGGGAAGATGAAACTAAGATCCACTGAAGAACCACCATGTGTGAAATCTTGGGCTAGTAACTCTGAACACACTGTGAAGTAGGCCTTGTTACCTTTCCATCCCACACACACAGATAGGAAGGCCAGGAGTTTAAGTGGTTGGGTCAGGGTGCAAACCTCTCTTAAAGAGTGGATCAGGGAAGGCCGTGTTTTGTTAGTAAGCAGAAGGAGCATCTGAGGTCCACAGAAATCTTTATGAAAGGTAAGGCCCAAAATAGCCTGAAGTCCACCTTCCCAAGGGGAAGACGGCTTATTGAGCTGTAGAAAGAGAAGCTGCAGTCAGAGCATGGGTTCCTCCCAGTGCTGGGCCACCACTACCCAGTGGTATAGAAAACGTGAAGAAAATGTACAGAGCACTGGCTGAGGCTCCAAGTGGCATGGTGATAAGTGGGCACACAGGGAGAGGTTCTACTGATCGCCTAGAGCAGTGTCTGACCCTGGTAGGACTCAGCACTTGTGGAGTGCGTGTCCATTAAAGTGGGCTCAGGCAGGACAATCAGATCACAAGCTGGCCAGGTTGGACAAGGTTGTTGGGGGAGGACATTCTGCTTGGGAAGGGGGCGCATGCAGGAGTGAAGGAAGAGCCCCCCTCAGAAGGCAGTCCCTCTGAGGATGCCTGCTCACAAGCAGTGGAAGAACTACGTCATTCAAGTCCACTCTCAGCAGAGGCTTGGGGGGCCAGAAACACAGGTGCAAAGAGGCAATGGAATCAAGAGGCATGAACATGCTGTGTGAACAAGAATGGCATTTCAGAGAAAGCCTGGTGCTTGGGGTGGGCCCAGCAGTCAACACTGTGGTAATCTTTGAAGTCCTGGCAACCTCTTGGATTCTTATTTTGTGTTTGTTGTCCTAAGTGAGGCTTGTAAGAAAGTAGCATTGAACTGTGAGCTAAGCAGCACTGAGGAAGCTGGCAGGCCACCTTGGGCCTCACACCAAGCTACACTCTCCAAAGCCCCCATCTACTAATGAGCTGACAGCTTGCTCTCTGCCGGCCTACGATTCGTGCTCCCTGTTTGCTGGGAAACACTAAACTTGGCTGGGGAAAAAGGGGGTGTTATTTACTGTGTAATCTCCCTCAGCTACAAGACTCACCCTCATTTTCATTGCACAGGCATGTTGTTGAAGACGGTCAGAGCAACTGTAAGACACTAAACTAGAGCTGCAGTGTGCATGTATGGGGTGGGGTAGATAGAATGTGAATTCATGAAGACGGCCTAAAAATCAGCAAAGCCCCTGGAATCAAAGGGTAAGCTAAATAATGATGAAGCTGGAAGACAAGGGGGATCTGGAGCACCTAGGAGACAGGACTCAAGCTGAGAAGGCAGAACGGGACGTGTGGGATCTGCCAGCATTGTAGAGGCCCCCCCTCAACTCTACAGGTGGGAGTCCCAAACCGTGCACATGGGCACTGGAGTCAGTTATGATTCAGCCAGTCTCCACACTGATCACAGCCAGCCGTCATTTCTTTCCACTCTGCTTAATCTGGATGGGTTCCATCAAGAAAGCATCCACACCCCTTCTAATCAATCTGTCACAGGGTCTCCATTCCCACTGTTTCTACCTCACAGACTCCCATCCACACAGCACATGCAGGATCCCCCTGTTCTGACCTCCTCACCTTGGACTGCTTCAGTAGTCTACAGGGTGACCTGCCCCATATCTGCTGCTAGGACTCCTGGAAAAAGCTCTATACACTCAGTCCTTCTGACTTGCTCCCCCCTTCCTCCCTCAACATGCACAGCTACTGCTGTGTTCCTCCTGGTTCCCCCCCACACACCTGGGCTCCAACCAAGACTACTCCCTACCACCCTACAGAAGCCATGATCCTCTGTGCCTCCAGCAGATTTTTCTAATAACCCCGACCTGCTGTGGGGCTGGTCTTCCTTCCCTCATCTCCCAACATACTTGGATTTGCCCACAGCGCTGTCCCCTAGGCAGATGATCTTCACGTTGTCATCAGCATCATATTTCTCTTGGTCGAGCTCGCAGGGCTTGGCTCTGTCGCTGGCCATTGGCTCCCGGCTCCTGGTTGTCCAGCCTGGGGTAGGTGCGTGTGTAGGGGGTCTTGTCACTGTCTGGGAAGTTCAAAAAGAGGCTGTTGTTAAGTAGATTTCCTCAACAGGTTGGTTTGGTTGGTTTCCTCAACCAAATGCATTTCTTCCTCTTCTGGGACCAGGGAGAGAAGGAGCTGATGAGAGCAGGGCCCAAGGACACACTTACACCTTTCTCTATTCATCACCAGCCTGGCTGCCAGTTGCATCACTGTGGGGCTATAATCTTGTCCTCACCCAAATCCTCTTCAGGTGGTGGACCCTATGTCATCTCCTTACTACAGCTATGTTCACAGCCACTCCCACTCCTAAAGACATTATTTTACAAGCTGTACATAGACAAGTTTTCTCACTGGTAAAACGAGGACAAAAGCCAGTGTCCATGTCATACAGTCAATGTGAGACACAGACAGTGCTCTGTAAGCCTGAGCTCTTCCCACTGAATGACAGCCTACAGAGCCAGAGACACCTAATGTGCATTCCCAACCACCCACCTCATGACTCTCACCTCCCCTTCACTTTTCACCCTGCTTCGGTCAGTAGGTGCATCTTCCTCTCTCAGTGTGGACATTCTCCCAACCCTCTTCTCTATGGTTATTTCAAGTATCTCCTAAATGCTGATGATGCCAAATCTGTACCTCCACCAAAATAGCTTCCGTTGGCAGCAGACTCAGGTAGGCAAATACCTACTAGACTTGGACTAGTATATTCTACCAAGCAGGGACAAATAACATGTGAAACCACAAATAGTTAGGTCCTGCCCACTCCAAACATCGATCCTCACATCCCTCATCTGTACAAGACATTACCAGCCAGCTAGTGCCAACACCTAGGTGTGACATCATCTCTAGCTCTGTTCTTTCCTCACTCCCAAATAGAACCTTTGAAACGGTACTGAGAATGTGCAATAGTCCAGACTCTGAGGTAATTAGGCACATAGAAATGATGCCATCGGGCTCTTACTGGGCATTCACCATGAGCAGACCTTGTGCTGGGTTCAGAGGAAAAGAGACACAATGTTGACAGTCTACTGTGGCAAGAGCTAAGGCAAGGGTGTGAACACCGTGGGAGGTGGAAAATACCAACAGGACCCCGAGTTTCCCTGATTGTACCACTGCAGTGCCATTGCCTCTGCTCAGGTAGGGGCTGAGCCATGTTTACCCAGGTACCCTCACCTTCATGAGCAGTGCCTGGGAAGTGGCAGATGCTTGGTAAGCATAATGAGGGAGTGCCCCTTCCACCTCCACCCTGGAGCAGAGTGACCTGTTTAAAAGCCAAACCCAGCCCTGTAGCTTCAAGCTCGAAGAGTTTCAGTGGTTGTCACTGTCCTCACCATCCAGTGCGGAAGCTGTCTTTCATTAAGCTAACATTTCTTTGGCATCCAACACATCTGGGAACCAACCTTCCCCGTTAGTCCGGAGTGCCCTCGCCCCCACACCGCTGCGTGCAACCAACGACGCGTCCTTCTCCTGCCCAGGGCCCAAGGATGGTGGGTCCTAACGCTGGGCCTGCTGGGGGGAAACAAGTAAGACCACGGACTCCTCCGCCTGTGGCCAGCCATTCCCCAGTCCGCGCCCGCCGGTTATGCATCCCGACCTGGTCCCGCGCCCCCGCCCACCCCGCCCCAGTCGCGTCCCGCCCCAGTCGCGTCCCGCCCCGGTCCCCGTTCCTCCCCAAATCCCGTCCTTCTCCGACCGGGTCCCGCCTAGGACCCCGCGGGCCAGCCCGGGGGGCTCACTCCGCGCCGCGCGCTGCTTCCGGCTCAGTCGGCGTCCTCGCAGCTGCTACGCAACCGGGCAAGGACCCGGAGGAGGGCTGCCCGGCAGGAGGCCTGAAGGACCCCTCCGGGGCGCGGGCTGGCTAGTGCGGTGCCGGGCGGGAGTACCGCGGGTGACCGCGGGCGCCGCCGGTGCTGGTGCTGAGTAGCGGCTGGCGGCCCGTAGGCCCGGCGGCAGAGCCCGGGGGCGGCGGAGTACGCGAGGCGGGCATCCTGCGATGTTTAGTGGGGTAACGTGGATAAATGCAACTGGATTGTGTTTTTCTTCTTGGTGTGGGAATTTGTGACAAAGTAGCTTGTGGCTGTTTGATTTCTTCTTTATTAAAATATTTAGAAATCCTGTACGTGAAAGATAGCTCAATCATCTTCGTTGGGAACAGCCCGAATTCCACTGGCTTGTCGGCTCCTGGATGCACCAGGCTGGCACATGCACATCCCACACAGCTGGATTTACCGAGGGAATCTGTACAGAGAAAAGTTCAGAAGACGGGTCTCAGGAGCGGGCTGTTTGTGGATGCGCAGAATATACCCTTTCCAAGCCTGAGCCAACACAAATGCATCTATTCCCTTTGAAAGCTGAGCTGGAAGAGAGTGGACCTCCTTGCCAGGGTGCAGCTGGGTAGATTGGCTTTGTTATCCTCCTGTAAGAGACACTTGGGAGGCTCCATGGCTGAAGAAGCCAGGTATCTACTGGGACTGATTATCACCAGTTTAAAACTGATGTCACGGAAATATTTGCAGGGTTTTGATTCCAACAGTCAGGTGACCAAGCAGGAGGTTTGGGACCAGCTGGCCCCCCACAGGCCTGAAGGACCCCCACTGACGTTGGCAGGTTGAGGAGGTACGCACTGTGTATGCATGAACTGTGGAGGTTCAGGTAGTCTGCATCCTGGAACAGGGCAAGCCGCCAAGCTGGGTGTTGGGAGTAGGCTGTTGCCGGTACAAGACCCCTGCCTATTTTGTGCCATATCCTACAAAAATGTGAGCATTCTCTCTAAAGGTACAGCTTTAGGTGACTGGACTGCCTTTCCAGGACTCAGCCTGGTGGGTTGCTGGAGTTTACCTCACTAAGACACCTGGGAGCTATATAAATACTGGCAAGCCCTGGAACACATCAGGCATCCATTCCAAATGGGGACTGAGCTTGGTCAGTTGAAAGGTGTATCTCTGAAGAACTTCTGGGTGGTGATGTTTCCTCCTGCTGTGCAGGGGTTTCCAGACCAACCCAACCTCCACAGGCTTGGAGGGCCTCCAGGTACTCTCGATAGGCTGATGGGGTGCTTGCTTATTGTGCATGCCTGAACCATGGAAATAAGTGTGGAAAGGGACCTGGTGCAGGGCAAGTGTCTGGAAAGGCCTATTAACAGGAGTTGGATATTCTCAAGGAAGAAAGAGGTGGAGGAGTTTGGAAGCTTTGCAAGTGCTGATTCAGGTAGCTGTAAAAGGCACCCTCAGAAAAAGACAATGGGGGGTCTCATTGTGCAGAAGCTCAGAACTTCTCAAAACATAGACAAGGGGATGGACTGTCTCCCACTTCAATGGCTGCTGCAAAAGTTGTCACCCAATTCTGGGGGATGGGAATAACAGTGTCTTTCAACAGATAGTAGGTGGGTGCATGTAGGGGGAGAGGGGGCAGGTGATCATGTAACAGTGGTGCAGGTGGGCGTGTGCCAGTGGGCATGTGGCTACATGCAGTGGAGTGAAAGTGGGTAAGTATGAGCAGGGGAACAGGTGGGTATGTGGCAAGGGGCAAGTGGGCACATGCAGCGGGACAGGGAGCAGGTGGGTGTGTACAGAGGGGCAGATTGGTGCGTGCAGGGGGTCGGGGAGGTGCATGTAAGTGGAATGAAGGCAGATAAGTGTGTAATGGGGTCAGGTGGGTGTGTGCAGGGGGATAGACAGGTACACACAAGGGGGTCATTGAGTGTGTGCAGGGGAACGTGTGTGCGCGCGCGTGCGCAGGGGCACTGGGTTTGTGCAAGGGGCCGATGAGGCTGATGGGTGTGTGCAGGGGTCAGTAAAGGCTGGTGGGTGCATGTACAGGGGAGTGAAGGCTGGTGGATCCGTGAAAGGGGGTACTGAGGTCAGGCCCATCATTGTCCTGGGGTCAGACCCAGGCAAGGTCTCAGTGGCTCAAGACAGTCCTTGCTGCTTGAGGGTGTGGTGTGGGTTCTAGCAGGGGATGCTTTGCCTGCAGGGTCTCTCCCTGGAGTTCAGGGGTGGCTGGAAGTAATCAATTAGAGAGTGCAGATCTCGGTCAGAGTGGAGGCAGTGAAATCTTCTTTCTGATCTTGGCGTCTTCACTGTTGACACTCTACCCACCATGATGCCCCTTTGGGGAGGCAGTCTGTGTACCTGCATTGTGCAGGTGCAGCCCTGTGACTGAGCCTGTGTGGACTCATCCCTGCAAACACATGCAAAGATCCTCATTGAACGTGCTCGGCCACTGTGAGCGATGGAGAAATCATGGCAGCTGTCTCCGTGTAGCCCACGGCGACCAGTACATGGTGTGGCATCACCTCCCAAGGGCACAGGTGGCTTTCAAAAAGAAGGATGTAAATATGCCCAGACATGTGAAGACACTGGCATCAGTGATCCTGGCACATGACAACATTCAGTGGACTGGGCAGCTTGAAACAAGGCACATTTACTGTCTCATGGTGTCCATGGGCAGGGGTCCAGACGAGGCTGAGCTGGGTCCCCTGAGATGAAAATGGGGCTGTAGTCCCATTGGAACCCCCACTCCAACGCAGGACCTGCCTCCTCATTCAGGCCTGTTCCACCTCCAAATTCTGAGGAAAGAACGGGTTTGGGGCCCATGCCATGTGCAGAATAATTCAGTGAGGAACTCAGAAGTTCGCCGTGATATTTTCAGGGCTAGAATGGAGCTGCAGAAGTGGATCCTGAGGCCAAACCTAACCCTGGCCCACAAATTGTCAGGCCCCTGAACCCAAACCCTAAGCCTGAAATGTGCCAAAACACACACCCTCAAGTCAGCCCTCCAGGGAGATCACTGCACTGCTGGTGACTCGATACATGATGCTTCCGGGGACCTGGTGCTAACCCTAGTCCTGGTTCATGCCCTAAGGGGGCCCAGCTTTGAGGCATGAGATAAAAAAGGGTTTGGGGCAAGGACTGGCACAGAACATTTTAGCATGGAATCTGGAATTTCACCATGATATTTCCAAGGCTGGGATAGAGCTGCAGGACAGGATCCTAACCCTGGCCCACTTACACACACCCCCCTGCGTGCACTCACCTGCCCCCTGCATGCACCCACCTACTCTCCTGCACACACCTGCCTGCTCCCCTGCAAGCACCCACCTGCACCCTTGCCCTCTGCATGTACCCACTGTCCCCCTGGACATACTCATCTGCCTTCACTCACCCCTGCATGAACCCTGGGGCCTCTGTTTCACATTTTCCTTACATAAACCTGAATGTGTTTTCAGATCTCCAGTAATAGTCCCTGCAATGTTGGCCCACTATCTTCCTGGTGTTGTTGTCACTGAAACAGATTATTTTCTTGTGTCACTTTCACTCCTCTCTCTGCCTTTGAATTCTGTTATCACTGTGTGGTCACACTCCATCTGTTTGGTGAACCTGGAGTGGGTGCTTTTGTACCCTGTGTGCTGCAATGAGTGGAGGAAGAGAAGAGGCTGAGTGCTGCTGGGGAGACCTGGTGCATCTGCAGGCAAGTCCAAGGGTGCCCCACCTCCCAGGGAGGAAGAAGGGGTGCCCAGGCCTGCAGCATGTGTGGCCAAGCTCCTGATGCCCTGAGAGGCTGCACTATATGACTGGACTCAGGGAAGCTCTCATCCAAGTTGGAACATGAAGAGGAGAGTTTCCCTTGGGATCGTTCTGGATTCAGATCCTGGAGGCTTATCTCAGGGGAAAGCCCACGAGTGGGACTTCTGACTTGTCCCGTAACGTCCTCCCTGGAGGAACGGTCTGCATGGGTGACAAGATGATGGTTCCCTGCTGCTTGGGAGGCTGTGGGGTCTCCAGGTGGGCACTGCTCTGGCCTCAGCGCCGTCCCTGCTCCGCTCCCATCCTCCCTTCTCCTGGTGTCCGTGAAACAATCAGAGAAATGGAAGAGCTGGTGAAACTTGGAAGAGACTGCGGCCCCTTATGTGCTCGGGACTGTCAGACCTGTCGCTCACATGATTGCTCCTGTGGGTGTGGTCAGAGGAAACACCCACGGACCTGAAAAGGCTGTGATGTGAACCATTACTGACAATCACAGTGTCTGCAGTTTCAGGGTCTGGATCAGGTCATCCCCGAGACACACTGACATGTCTAATGTCCCCGCAGCCCATAACCGTTCACAGCAGCTGGGAAGGCGTAGACTCTCACCTGATGGGTGGTGACAGCATCTCTTTCTCACCTGCTCAGAGCTGCCTGGGCTGCAGGGACTTGTTTTCAGCCTGGCCGTCGCCGCCCCACACAGCACCTGCTCTCCAGCATCTTCCTGGTTTCTGTGTCTCTCCTCCCTTTCCATCTGCCTTTCTACCCCCTATCCCTAACTTCCTGCAAGTATTCCTACAAGCCAGCAGTTCGGCTTGGGGGAAAGTGGGTGCCCAAGAGAGGTTTGTCACACTCAGTGAATCAAGACATTCTGACCTTTTCCCCCAAGGCCTAAATACTACTCAGCTCCGTAGGTACATCGCTCTTTGCTGGCGATGATGGCACTGTTTTTAAATCTTCATTATTTTATTTTGCTTATTTAAAAAAATTTTTTTAATGTTTATTTATTATTGAGACAGAGAGAAACAGAGCATGAATGGGAGGGTCAGAGAGCGAGGGAGACACAGAATCCGAAGCAGGCTCCAGGCTCTGAGCTGTCAGCACAGAGCTCAACGCGGGACTCGAATCCGCAAACCGTGAGATCATGACTTGAGCGAAAGCCAGACGCTCAACTGACTGAGACACTCAGGTGCCCCAAAACTTCATTATTTTAAAATAATAAGTAGTGTGTTAAATCTATAGATCAATGT